ATCAAAAGAATATGCTGAAATATATTCACTATATAGATTAGATTAATAAAAGTACATTTGTAAAATTTAGACCTGTTCATCAAAGCAGCTCAGAAAAATCTGAAGGTCCTTCCAAATCAGTCAATACAAACATTACCTTTAAGAAGATCAAAATACTTTAAATTTCTAATACAAAGAGTTCATGATTTGAACAGCATATGTGTGTTTTTTCTCTTACTGAAAAACCTGTCATATATACAGCTAAGGATGTGTTTTTAATGATATACCCTATTTCTTTGTTCACGACACATCAACATCAATGATGTCATACAGCCCTTACAATAAGGTCTGTTAATAAATGCAGTGTCTATTGAACTGAGACAACATCAAAACATACAACTTTGCTTACCACATAAAAGAACATATGTGTCTTTCATTGACTTTACTGTAAAACTGTTTCAATTTAGTCAAAGAAAAAGAAAAGGAAATTTAGAATCCATGTAATTGTAGTTTTATGAAGAACAATAATAAAACAATCATTGCATTTTAGAAAAGCTTTCAACACCTTGAAACATATACACATATTACAGGATAACTGCTAAGTTATTAAATAAGCAAAATGATACAGTATCCTAGCAATAAATATAGCATAGGTCTCTGAAATAAAATTGCCTGACTTCAAATCCTAGCTCTGTTTATTAGGAATAACCTAGGAAAATAAACTAACCACTACATGTTTCCATTTCTCCATCTATCTATAAAATACAGATAATAATAAGAATTCATACCTGGAAGAGATGTTTTTTAAATATCAAAGGAGGTAATACCATATCTACATAGAGTAAGCAATTTTAAAAAAAGGCTTTTCCCCCCCTTTTTCTCAATCTAAATAGAATTTGTCATACATTTTGAAAATAAGAATGAAGACCTCTAATTTTAAAAATTGGTGTTAAAAGTCCTAAGTTCACTCAAGACCATAATTACCCTTCTGCAACCTGAGCACAATCCAATGGAACACTTAGATAAATGTTTAGAAAGTTCTCTTGTCAAGGTGACTTTATCTCAGTCGTTTCAAAAGAAGAAGAAAAAAAGAATGATTCTTTCTTAAAGGATGAACAAAAAGAATTTAGAATCACTGCATTTACAAAATATGATTCTTTCTTAAAGGATGAACAAAAAGAATTTAGAATCACTGCATTTACAAAATATGATTGTCTTGAACAGCAAATTTACTGAGGAAAATGCAAGATTAGTAGTAAAATTCAAATATTTTAGCGTTTTTAGGATATTCAGTTAAAGTGTTGATGCCATCCAAATTACCAAATCTGTTACATATAAAATTGCTATTCTCTATAAAGAAATTTCAACTGTCTATGACTAGTCTGGAACCAGTTATGCTCTAACCTAACACAGCCATTCAACTATCTTTGGGATTATTGTATTCTCTTTTCTCATAAAGAAGTTAATACTGGTGGCAGAATGTAACAAAAAAAATCAACAGTGTAGAAGGCTTTTTAATAAATTTCATTTTGGCAAATGATCATATGCAAATTAGCAAATATTGAAATCAGGATGATTTTATTTATTTGTTCTGTACATATCTGATTAATAGGCACTAATTTTGTTGATGATAACAAGAGAACTCTATTGTTATATACAGATTAGAAATGTAAACACTTAGCATTTCCCACAACTACTGACTTCACAAATTATTTTGAATGTTATTTCAAATAACACTGTGAGTGCCAGAGGTTAGGTAAGCAAAGAGCTCTACTGCCCCCTAATGAAGTAAAACAAAAAAAACAAAAAAGCCAAAAAACTCAGAAAACTTGTTTTGAGGTATGTGTGGAACAGGAAAATAATCTTACTTTGCTAAATGCAGTAGACAAACAGTAAGAAAATTAACTGAAAACAACTAGAATATCTATCAAAATACTATAGGAAAAGCTAGAATCATCCAGTTTTCATGATAAAATTCGTAGCAAAACAGGAAAGCCTCGGGACAGAAATGTTCTAACAGAAAGGAGGCCAGTACAACAATGTTATCTAAAGTGACAGCAATTAAAACTTCACCGCAGGCTACACTTTTCATGTGTATGTTGGAAGGGAATGAGAAGAAAGAGATTCTTAGAAACCATGCTTTTCAGCGAATTACTGTAAGTTTTCAGTTCAGCAGCTCATAAGTATTGTAAATACTATCAAAATATTCTCTTACAATTTGCACTGACTCTAATCCTCTCAGAATTATTTTAATATATGTGTACTTTCAGGATAACTACACTGTAAAACATACATTTGACGAAAAAAAAAATACATTTGAAAGAATTTTACCTGTTTCCTGTTTTAAACAAATGTCAATTTCTTAAGCATGACAACTGTGTACTTTATGATACTCTGCATCATAAACTAACCAGCAATAACTTTTAATCTTCCTTTTACTAAAATTTCTCCCTTCCTTTAACAAATTTGGTTTTTAAAACACGTTCCATACTCATGTTCCTTTTACCTAATACTCTAACCTGTCTAGAATTCCCGAATTCTCATTCAGAACAGAGCAAATGTTTGGGGGAAGAGCAGTGTGTGGTCCTTAATAACAGAAGTTATGTAAAAATTAACATCAAGGAATCAGATATAACAAGAGTACAAAGAATAGAATACCAGATCATAAGAACATGGAGAAAACGTAAAGCTTCCCAGCAGCAGTTCACTGAGGGGAACAGAGGTATGGTAGATAACTGTTCCTTTATAGCTAGGGCACACGTCCCTTGGAGAGGGTCTGTTTCTAACCAGGTTGACCGTGGTTGTACATTCCACTATATTGTTTACAATATATAAGAAGTAGGGACCAAATCCACAAAATGCCACAGGGGAGACAGGCAACACAGAGAAAGAGGGTCACTTAAGTCTGCACACGAGATGAAAATATCCTTCTCATTCGTGTGCTGCTGCTCCTAAGTGTCCGTTAAGGAAAATGGTTCTCTAGCTCTGCAAGTCATAAGGGTAACCAAATGTTCATTCAAAATTTTAAAACAGCAACAGACAGAAAAATACAAATGTACTCCAGCCTATATCTCAAATGAGTTGGATCTCACATCTGTATAGATTTCCTGAATAATATGAATGAATTAAAAACATGACTCTTTTACTTGAAGCATTACTCATTCATTCCTACTGCCTAAAGATATAACTGACACAGAGACATGTTTTGAAGACACAATAAAGAAGCTGGGAGGACTCAAGCATCCCAGAGTTAAACACTGCCAAAGTCATGATGCTTAAAGTATATCAAATATAGAGTCAAAATTGTATCCTTCCAAGCTATAAATTCCATTTAGCTACTCAGACTTAACATATGATAGTCACGAGAAATAAAGCAGTGAACGTATACCTGGAGAACGCATATATGTATGTGTGTGTATAGATGTGTGTTTTCCCTCATGGAAGAGTCCCAGTCCACACCAGTGAGTTCCAGGTTATTATCCTAAACTTAAAGGAATGCCTTCCCTAGATCATGGGGAGAAAAAAAAATAAAGGACTTTCCAGGCTATCCTTTCCCTCCCCTATTCTCAGAAGCATACATATGAAAAATATGATCAAAAAATTAAAGGAAGAAAGAATGAAAGAAAAGGGAAAAGGTTAATTTCACCAAGAAATAAAGTTAGTGGCAGCTTTGGTTTAAAACAAAGAGATTTATTTATTCATTAGCCCAAGAAAACTTTTATTGATGATGATGAAGATGGCAGCAGCCAGCATTTATAGAGCATCATGTACTTTACATACGCTGAGTATTTGATCTTCATAAAAGCCCTGTGAGACAGATAATATTATTCCTGTTTTACAGACGAAGAAACTGACACTCATGAAGATTAAGTAACTTGCCCAAGGTTAGACCGCTACTAAATTGCAGAGCATATATAATATAGCAGTCAATTCGACATTTAACCATTAAGTTTATGTTCTTTTCTGGTCAAAATGTGTGAAATGAAATGATTCTTTGCAAACACTGTAATAAATTAATAAATTATACATGTTAAGATCCAATTCAATTGCCTAAAATTCTGTGGACATGTAACCTGAGCTAGGCACTGATGCCAGTTCTTATGGAAGACAGAAATGTACAAGACATAATAAACAGTGAAAGTGCTAACAAAGAAGTAATAATATACACATCCTTCAATGCCCATTATAAATAATAACATTTCTTCCACTATTCTCTGATCACATACAGCCACAGTAACTTCTTCTTCTTCAGATCTTCCTACCTCATTCTCACCTCTATTTCATTTGTCTTAAAATGAGACAGTTTCATTTATTTAAGGAAAATAAGTCACTCCCCCTGCTCTCTCTCTTAAAGATACTCAATTGTAGTAAAAAATATATAAAAATAGCATTCAATGACAACTGAAATACACATTTCTCAATATGCTGTAGTAAAAACTATTCCATAGCAGCTCTTTTACCTTTGATAACATGTTCAGGTTTTCTTAAATTAATACTAAAGAAAAAATCACCATGCAGTTTAAAACTAATCCAAAATTCTATTTTGTAATAGCTGAGATTTAAACACACACACAGACATACTATACATACACAAACAGAACTCAGGTCACCTTCATATTTCAGGCATTGGCTGGACAACATTATTCCCTCTGCTATATGTGTGCAGCTTAAAACACAAAACACCCAGAAACATCCACAATTATCTAAAACATTGAAATCATAATTTTATATGACCACTACCAATTTTTTCCATTGCAGAATTTAAAAGAAGACATTATAACATATTTTTGCAAGAAAAGTACCTTGTAAGACAACCTGTTTTTTCAAATAAATAACAAAGTGATATGTAAATATGACATCAAAACTTGTCACAAACAAAGATCTGTCATTTTGTTAATCTTTCTTTAATTTTAATTAAATTATGTTTAAATCTTCAATTCAGAGAACAAAGACCTTGCTAACAATAAAGTACGAGACCTAGTAAACGAAATACATCCTTTCAATGGGATACCCTTTCTTACCTTCGAATCCTCATTGCTCACTCCTAGCTGTAACACAGCTTGAGGAGATTTTAGTTTTGCTTGGGCAGAGTGAGCCATCTGAAGGTTAAGCTGCCATCCAACCGTCTCCAGCTACAAAAGACAAGCACAGATTGGAATCAGATGGTACAGAAGGAAGAAAAC